TAAGTAGTATAACCAACACATAAATAATAGTCCAGCCGTTTCTTCGTGAAAAAATTACACATACACAGTACATACTTAGTGTGGAATAAGCTCAAGGAGACAGAAAGAACACACAAAATTTCGCCTTTATAATATTAGTGAGATAAGTTGGATATTTAGTTCCAAATTAAATATCCTACTTAATATTGAACAAAGAATATTTAGTTTCAAAGAGACTTTATTTTATGGATAAAATAAATATTTCTTGAAGGTTGACTTTCACGAAATGATAAACATATTTAAATTGTATTTAAGCGATTCTTTGCGTATAGAATGTCACTTAAATATAACTTAAACATTTCGTAAAAATCAGTGTCGTGAAGCGACAATTAAAAACAAAAGAACCTAACCTAACAACAACAAAAACAACAAAAATAGAACAAAAACAAATAATTTATTTAAAATTTAAAAAGATATTTACAGTTTTATAAAAAAATTAAGTATGAAGATGAAGATGGGTGACGTAAACTACAATTATTTCTAAAAAAAAAGGATAATAAAGATGATGAGTATTGAAGCGGAGCCCGAAGATCCAAGTGGCACACCGAGCTTGGTGGTGGTATTCGTTGCTCATAGATTATACACAGGCTGTGCCTGTGGTAGGCGCGCAGCGCCTGGAATAAGCGCTCGCAGCGCCTGGAGCGAGCACGCACAGCGTAGGTGAAGGCGTGGGCGTGGCTAGGCGACAACTTCAGGTGAAGGCAGAGGCTTGCAGAATCCCGGCGACTTCAGGTGAAGGCAGAGGCTTACAGGATCCCGGCGTCTTCAGGGGAAGGCAGAGGCTTACAGGATCCCGGCGTCTTCAGGGGAAGGCAGAGGGAGAGACTTGCAGGATCCGGCACTTCAGGCGAAGGCAGAGGTAGAGACTTGCAGGATCCGGCGACATCAGGCGAAGGCAGAGGCAGAGCCTTGCAGGATCCGGCGACTTCAGGCAAGGCAGAGGCTTGCAGGATCCCGGGGCAGTGCGGGCCCGGGATAAGGCCTTTAGGAGATGCTTCGAGAAAGCTGAAGCGAGACTGCCTTTATTGGCCGATTGTTCGGCTTTTATACCTTTTTAGAGAGCTCCGCGCTCGACGGAGGAAGAACGGAAAATTATTTAAATTAAAAGCAAATTTTTGTAAATGGCCAAGAAGAAAAGAGTATTTATGTGGAAATATTGAAGTAAAACAACAGACCGGTAACGAATTTGAATAAAAATTGCCATGATAACCAGATAAACAACGATGTCAAAACATATCAAATTTTGGTTTCAGGCTCGTAATAGAGAAACGGCAAGATTTAAGTGAAAAATGAGATATTATTGATATAGGAAAAAAGGTAGCGCAACAGCGTGCACGAAGCCCGAAATTGCAGAGTTGCGGAGAACCAAATAAAAGATTGAAAAAGGTAGACTCCATCGACACCGATTTAAAAAGTGCTGATAGCGTGAAAATACAAAGTGAAAATGATTTTTTATTGTGTTCTTATGGTTTAAAAACGTTACAGGATCCTATGGAAATAAAGGTGATACAAAATATACAGTTTTGAGGTGAATGCAGAAAATCAAAACGGAACGGATAAATGAATTTAAAATAGTGTAAAATGATATGTCAGTAGCATAACACTACATCAGCCAAGTACAATTTCCTTCATTTTAATATTGAATGTTGGGTTACTGGGTAAAATAATTGAATTCTAATTGCGGCCCTATCTTTTTGTTATTTTTTATGAGGTTTACTTGACGATAGATGGCGGCCTGTTCCCAAATTTATTATGAAAACTATAAAAATATTATTTTGGCAATTAAAATTTCTTTGTCTGAATGTATTTGCTTCATGAGATACACGCTCCGATGCTATAGATGGAATCACATTTCATTTGTAAGTAATTTTACACCTAATTTATTAAAATAGTTCTAGAAAAATCTCTTTACGTCCGCTTTTAAATATAATTAATTATATTCCACACTAGCCACACTAGATGCCGACACTTTGTGTCCTGTGAACTAAAAATATAAAGGTACGTAGAGCTCGGTAATGATAAAATAATCATACGAAGGTGCTGAAATTTGTTTTGCATTCAGACATAAAGAAATTTTAATCGCCAAAATTTTATTTTTATAGTTTATATTTTATAACATTTTGTGGACATGCCGCCATCTACCGTCAAGGTAGCTAAGCTACATTGCAACATCGATATGCAAAGATTAGATTAGTTTTACTATTTATCAGTAGATATAGATAGTATAGTGGCCGGTGCTTTGCATCCCCTCACTCCGCAAATTTTCACGCGTTGTTACATAGTGAAATTTAATTAGAACGTCTCCTCTTTGTATTTTCTTCATGAGGGTAACAAACGAGCACACAGTCCACCTGATAGTAACTGCGTGCTGTGGCCCATAGACATCTACATCTATCTTCGTTTACGAATCAAAATGTAGATGCGTTGACAGCCGTGAGGACTAAAATGGAATGCCTCTATTCCAGTAAAAAGGGTCTCCGGTTCTCTACACTCACCATAAGAAACATAGCATTAAGCTGCTATTTTACGCTGGTATTATGTGAAAGCGTGGTCCTTCCCCGGTCGAGCCGACCCATTCGTGCCACATCTATACTACCAATATCTTTCTTAGCATGTATATTTTTATTTGCTTAAAATGATACATAGAATTTTTAACAAATGTTTCAACATTCAATAAGTTCTCGTAAATACATTGAGAGGCGAAACTTAATATATATATTTCTTTAAAATTTTCTCTAAGGGATTCCTTCGGACCTAGGTTATAAATTGCTCTTATAGTTCTTTTTTGCAAAACAAAGATAGTTTCAATGTTAGTCGCATTACCCTTTAGCAAGATTCCATATGATATTATGCTATAGAAATGACTAAAATTAACCAATTTAGCTGTTTGAGAAAAGCCCAGTCTCACTTCCGCAACTATAAAGAATCTAACGACATCTCATTCATCGTTACAATCCATTAACCCTTTATGCTAAAATGCGAGCCAAAGAAATAGACATAAATACATACATACCTATTACATACATACACGTACGTACATAAATACATACTGTTGAAAAATATTACCCTTCTTCTAGGGTAGTCGAGTAAAAAAAGGGACGTGTATACGTTCCAAGCGCTGATTAGCTTAAAATAGTAGTTTTCAAACCTGTTAATATCATAAGAATTGTTATGTTCTAAATAGTCAAGAGGAGCCTCTGTTTAATCAAGAAAATTAAACAGAGGTTTTCTTAATTGCGCTTTTAAGTGTCAATTTCCAAGCATAAAATATCTGAAATGGCTGACAATATTACGAAACAAAAAAATACAATCAATTTGACAAACCTCAAGAAAAATAGTAACTAGAAAAGATATTTTGATTTAGGTTATATATACATAAGAAATTAAAAATTCAAACCGAGTGAAATATTAATAAAAATGCTGTGGACAAAACGATTATATTCACCAATTTATATTAATGAATTTATTAAAATAAGGATTTTAATTATGGACATTGTTAACACATAGTATAAAATTAAATCTAACTAAAAAGTTACACACAATATTAAAAAAAAAACTATAATAAAGAAAAATTTAAACTGAAAATTTACATTAACCTACATTCCTACTCCCCGTAGTATCGTGCTAAGAACACTGATGACACTTCCTCGCTGAATGGCTATACTTAGCCTTTAAGCCAGAAAAGAACCAGCCCTCTTATCACCAGCAGCTATGACCAGTCGCGGATGCAGTTCCTTTAGGAACTTCACCACACGTGGACCCCATGGACCGATAGTCTCTACAGCAAATGGCATAAATATGTAGTAGTCATTTCTCAAACACTCATATTTTCGCCACTTACTTAATTCAGCTGCCTCTGATGCCACCCTGGCTCTAAACGAGGTACCCTTGAGATGAGAGGCCGCCAAAATATTAAACTTGTAAAATTAATATTATTTCGAGTATCATCATACCAACAAAGAAAAAAAGCGGAGCGCTACGTACATTTCAAGGGATGCAAAAACCAAGCCAAAACCATGCTCACCTTATTGGAAAAACACGCACTTACGTATATGCACCTAAATTATTTGCAGCATGGTTTTAGGTGGACCCAGAATGCCAACCTCAAGTTGAGTCCGAAGAAGTGCTTACTATTTAAACGGCAAGTTAGCTTTTTGGGGTATGTAGTGTCGGAAGAAGGTATCCGCACGGATCCAGAGAAAATTGCCGCTGTCAAGGATTGGCCGGTTCCAAAAGACAAGACACAGGTTAGAGCATTTTTCGGTTTGTGCTCTTATTATCGGCGATTTGTGAAGAACTTTGCAGATATAGCCAAACCTCTGCACAAGCTAACCGAGGAGAAGCGACATTTCTGCTGGGATGAAAGTTGTGATATTGCATTCCAGGAGCTTAAGAACCGTCTGTGCAAAACACCTATTTTGGGGTACCCTGATGTGGGCAAGGAATTCATAGTTGACACAGACGCAACTGATATAGGACTTGGCGGTGTGTTGTCTCAACGGAATGGTGATCAAGAGATTGTGATAGCGTACTTCAGCAAGTCGTTGTCAAAGCCGGAAAGTAACTATTGTGTCACAAGACGGGAATTGCTTGCTGTGGTAAAGTCCTTGCAACATTTTAGCAAATATCTTCTAGGGCGGAAACTCTACTTACGAACTGACCATGCTGCGCTGAAATGGCTATTGCAGTTCAAAAATCCGGAAGGACAAGTTGCGAGATGGATTGAACTACTACAGGAATACGACTTTGTGATCGAACATCGCAGCGGGAAATCTCATGGCAATGCAGATGCATTATCAAGAAGACCTTGCCCTGAAGATTGCAAGCATTGTACTAGGCAAGAGGGTAAAGAAGTGGTGTCTGCGAGGATATTCAGGACAGACCAGCTCAGCAATGAATGGAAGGACAGCCTACAACATGCATAGCAGGAAGATTCGGACATTAAGCCGATTCTGGAATGGATGAAGGCCAGTGCTCCTAAGCCCAAGTGGAGCGACGTCTCAGCAATGAGTTCGACCACGAAAAGCTATTGGGCCCAATGGGACAGCTTGTTGATTCAGGATGGAGTCCTGTGCCGTAACTGGGAAAATGGTCGGGGAGACAGGTGTTATTTGCAAATGGTTGTCCCTAAGGCTAAAGTGCCGGATGTTCTACAGCTGTACTATAGTGGTTGTTCAGGAGGCCATCTGGGAGTTAAACGAACTCTCCTGAAGATCCGAGAACGGTTTTACTGGGTCCACTGTCGTGACGATGTCGAAAACTGTACAAGTTATGCGGCTGTAAAGGGACCTCAAATTCGTAGTAGAGGCGCATTGAAATTGTACAATGTTGGTGCACCATGGGAGAGGATAGCCATTGACATTGCGGGGCCGTTTCCAGAAACTGAAAGTGGTAACAAGTATTTCATGGTTGTGATGGATTACTTCACTAAGTGGCCAGAAGTCTTTGCCATTCCAAATCAATAAGCTTCAACAGTTGCAGATAAACTAGTTCATGAAGTCTTCTGTCGTTTTGGAGTACCTTTAGAGATTCACAGCGATCAAGGAAGGAATTTTGAGTCTCAAATATTCCAGGAAACTTGCCGAGTTATGGGTACTCAGAAAACACGAACAACTTCTTACCGCCCACAACCTGATGGAATGGTAGAAAGATTTAATCAGACATTGGAGAGGTAACTAGCAAAAGTTGTGGAAAAACGGCAACGAGACTGGGACAGGCACATACAACCGTTTTGTTGTCATATTGAAGCGCTGTTCACGAAAGTACATCAGTAACACCAGCTTTCGCAAACTTTGGGAGAGAATTGCGGCTGCCTGCAGACCTGATCAACGGAATACCACCTGATGCCCCACGCAGTATAACCGATTATGTAAATGACTTGCGGAACAAAATGAATGACATTTATGAGCACGTCAGACAGGCGGGCCAGCAAACGTATGAGAAGATGAAAACACGGTATGACCGCAAAATGAACAACAAGGGGTTTGATGAAGGTTCACTAGTCTGGTTACACAATCCAGTTCGCAGCAAAGGGAAATCTCCTAAGCTTCAAGCTAAATGGGACGGACCGTACCGGATTGTGACAAGGATCAATGACGTAACCTACCGGATACAGAAAAGTGCCAGAGGCACTCCTAAGATTGTCCATGTGGATCGACTGGCGCGTTATTATGGGGCCAATAATGCTCGGGACGAGCATGTCTTAGGAGGGAGCAGTGTTGCGCGCCACTATTAATGTCTTGTACATGGCAACACTAGTTACACTAGCGCCCTCTAGTGTCTAGTAGCAGAACTAGGAGAGTCAAGATCCTTCCACAAATTTCGGGACCGATATGTACTCAAACATTCTAGATGTCGCTACAGTAGAAGGTTCTGGAAATAATCTGAGGCCCTATATAAGCCCGGTATAGACCACGACCGAGGCAGTATTGAATTGGCGATACAAGAGAATACTTCGAAGCGAAATAACTAAAGTGATTGTATTTTATTATTTGTGTGGTTTTAGATAGTAATTAGGGTTGGATAATTAAAGTGTCAATTTTGGTAATTCAATCGGCAGTTTTAATTGTCTCGAACCCCAAGCTCGTAACAATATAAATTTCTGCTAGGGATGTTCGACGATGAACGCTTAGTTAAAATAATTTATGATAAACAATCTTAGTTCCATGAATGAGTTGTTACGTACTTTACATTTATGAAAATTAACGTAAATACCACAAGTTTCTACTAATTACCTGACTTTGTTAATAAAGTTTCCAGAGCTCAATGATCTCCTGTTTGAGGAAATTCAACAAAATACAAAACGGTAAAATTGACATTTCTAAAGATTAACCTTATCAGCGTAAAAATATGTGTAATATGCCTAATATGTACTTGCATATTTTTTTTGTTATAAAATTGTGGTAACAAATAAAATTAAAGTCTCCATCTATCTTCGCAAAAATCAAAACTATGTCTAAGCTGAAAGTAATAAGAACTGCAGTTCCCAACCCGCCTCTCAAGCATGGCAACTATGGCAAATATGGGTAAATCTAAATGGTAGAGGCCTATGTTCAGCAGTGGACTTTAATAACGTAACGGTAAATACATAACAGTGGAATTAATAATATTTTTATCATAATGTACGGGATATTTTAAAAATGTTAGTTTAAAAGCGATTGTATTTAATTTACATAATACCAGGTTTCTTGACTCTGTATCCTATATTTTTATTATGAATTTGCTATATTATACAGAAGTGTTTTCGGAACCGCGGGGATATTAAACTAATAAACTTGAAATACTACCGAATTCCCTGAAATTAGAGTATGTATGTAGCAACCGCGTTGTTGTTTTTTGTATTATGAAAAAGGAAATTGGCTTAATGCTTCCAAGTTTGAGATACTTTTGAAACAATATCAGATATTACTGTAAGGCTGACTAAAATATATTTAAATGTTTTTTTTAAATGTTGTTGGTAAGGTATTTAATGATATTTTTACTGTCATTTCGCAAAAAATAATAAACATTAATTACGAACATTGTCTATCCAATAAAATTAGCGGATCCATAAAGGAAAATTGGTATAAAATAACATGTGTATTATTTCAAAATAATTTAAATATGACGGCGATATTTTAATCCATTCATATATTTCCTGTACTTATCCTAATTTCGTTGAGTTCGTTACATATAAAGTACTCTGTTAAGTCTTAGGTAATAGGCAAGGAAATGTCGGACGCTCTGGTCCAATGCGTATTCGCGGACATCACGTCTTCGATTTTTTTCTTATTTCTCGGATAAGTAATTTCACGATGTTTTCTTTCAACACCGAGTAAATGGTAAAACAGGACTTAAAATTTTAATTAAAATTTAATTTGCGCTGGTGGGGATCGAACCTGTATAACAAGTATTTAGCTTTAGAGCTACCACGTCTCTCCTAAGATACAAGGATCTCCTGAGCTACCACAAAAATATTTGCATATAAAATGAAATATATGCAAAAATTTTTGTAGTAGCTCTTTATAAGCGGATTTATAGGCGAGGAAACCGTAGTAATAAATAAATTAATAAAAATTAATAAAAAATCATATTACAATAACTGCATTAAGGTCTTATTAAATTTTAAACAAATTAATAAATATTTATGATAAATTGTATATTGTTCGAACATATTTTAAAATAAGTTAATTATTATAAAGAATATATATAAGAATCTATAACTTACTTAAAAATAAATTATAGATTTCAACTTCACTTATAAAGAAAACTAATCTATTGCACCTGCGACAAGAAAAATGTAGCTGACCCAAACATAACTCTTAATGTGTTTTACTTCCCAAACGATTTAAAATAAAATCGTTTCGTGTAAGTTATTTCTTTATAGAAGTAAGGGTCACCAATCAGCACACAGTTCTCAGTATTCTTGTTATCCATATTGAATAAAAATGATTCTAGTCTATTCTATTCTATTGACACTTGATACAAAGTATGTCATCATGATCAAACATTGACAATTTGCTGATATAAAATGGATTAGCGTTATTAAATAGAACACCATAATTTTGATTCTTAATCCACGAAACTATTTGTCAGTAGTTAACAGCATACGCTTAACATCAGGTGAATTGGATGCTCGTTTATCCTACAAAAATGTCACTTTAATTTTGCTTTTATGGAGACAAAAATCGGTTGAATTGATAGTGCATAAAAGAAACTTGATGTTTTGCTTCCTTTGTCAATAAACTACTGACGCGCCTGATGAAAAATAATTATACAACACAAAGACCTCCTCAGACATCCTTCGCATACAAAAAGCTCTTTCGGCGAGCTTTGTGCTGTAGTGTGAATGGAAAGTACGAAATATACTGGGCACATTTCTCTTTCGCTCACCTACGAGTAATTTTGAAACCAAAAATGTAACTAGTTTGATATAATACGGCGATTACTAAAATAAAAAATTACAAAGATTTTATTTGCTGCGACTAACATAAGTTAATGTTTCTGTAGTCCAGAAAAAATTCATCAATTTATATTTGTTATAGTTTCCATTCTAGGTAAGTTGGCAACCGCAGTTTTTTTAATTTATACTATCTGCTGTTCTCTTTCTTTTCTATTCCTCTGTCACCTTTTAAGACACCCACAAAATGATCTAGTGAACATTTTTACACTGACACTACTCGGTCGGTTTTCCAAATTACACACAATATTTCCTAAAATTTCGTCAACAAATTTTTAATCCAGCGTTTTTAACAGATTCTGGGCATTCATTCATAATATTTAATTAATTATTTTGCAATTGCTGGTGCAACTCGTTATTATACCAGCTTTCCGTACCCCTCAGACCAGATTAGTGAAGGCACTTCAGACAAAATCAGTTATTGGAGTTTCTGTCAAGAAATTCTGAATAGAAGGTCGGAGTTAGGAATTTGGCGGTGTTTTACCCATGTTCCTTGGAAATCTATAAACTCGTGTCGAATAATCATTCCATCAAACTATGAAAGAAAGAGAATAGGTAGTGTAATTGTTCACTTTTATACTGTCCTGCGCAGATGGCTAGTCTCTTTTGAGAACTGCTGTTTCAAATGAATTTCATTGAAAGAGATTCGTTATATAAGAAATAATAATATAGTCTCATTAGCATTGAAAAACTCTGAATTTTGATTTGTACCTTAAAGTAGGTTTGATTTTTTTTTGTTTTTTTTTTATGTTGCTTATGGGCCACAGTATTTACTTATTACTACTACTTACTGTGTGTAGAATAGAATAAAATAGAATATTTTTATTCAATATACATTACATGTAATTCTTATTGAAAGTCATTTTTTATTTTACCACTGGTTCGAAAAAAAACCCTAAGTTGGTCGCATATGAATCATACAATTACGCTTATTTCATTTATTGTCGTTACTAATATTTTTATGAGACAATGTACTGAGAATGCCTATATTCAGCAGTAGCATTTGATAGGCTATAATGGATGATGGTTTCTGATTCTTCTCACACAAAATAATGCTTTAATAAAATTTATCATATATTCTGTACAAAGGAGTTGAATTGAGTCACAAATATTACAGAATCAATTTCATTTATTTAGCTCTAACATATTGCAATATTATGTTTCCTTTCTACGGAGATTTCCGTTTCATAATATTTGTTTTTAGTTTATTACTTTAATATCATTGGTTAAGCAAACACACTCAAGTGGCGCAACATTTTTGTATTTCAGACGTTACTCTAAGTTAGGAATGGTTTTAAGAAGAAAATATCTGGTGCTATTTTCAAATCAAAATCAGTATTTTGTAGATTTTTGTGCCACGCTACATATTTTTTTTTTACAATTTTCGACATTATATCTATAATTATTTTAATATTTGAATAGCCAAACTTTTAAAAATTTTAGTAAAATTACAAATGCTTAACAAAACAAAATGTAAGTAAAATTACAAATCAGTGTGTTGTTGATATAATTTACAATACAATTCGA